GGGTGAAGGAGGGACGTACACACACACACACGGAGGAAGGATGCAGGAGAGAGATACACACACACACACACACAGTCAGAAGTATACAGTCATACACTCATACAGTCAAAGGGATCTGAGAGTATTAACGTGGTGATGTGTGACAAAACATATAAGCATAAAACGTTAACAGCCCAGAAGCAGAAGCCACAACAAACACACGTGAAGCCACAACAAACACACGTGAAGCCACAACAAACACACATGAAGCCACAACAAACACACGTGAAGCCACAACAAACAAAAACAAACCAACTCACTAGTCAGGAAGGAATGTAAATAAAGAAGCTCATTATAAATTACAAACTTGGGAAAAAAACAAAAACGGACAGACATAAGTTACAGCAGTGAGGGTTAAGGGGAAGGAAAGCAACACCTGTATATGATAAAAAAAAGTGTGCGTCTGTTCCCTTCTTCCTGAGGGCTACACAGAGCTAAGGGACACACGGTTGTACCCGCCCCGTTACCTGCAGGGAAACATGTAGAGACGACGAGCGTATAATTTTTTTTTAAGGTTATCTGAATATGGAAGGTACCGTTTGCACATATAGGTTACAAGTGTGCATATAAAAGTTAAATATCCGTGTGTTCATAAGTCGGAATGGAAGACAATTACCGTTTTAGTACTGTGAATATAAGGGTTAAAGAGACCCATTGAGTAACTTTGGTCCGAGAGTGATAAACAGGGAGTGAGAGGAAGGATCAAGTTTTTATTCCGATCGAATCCTAAGTCCCTCGTGACTAAAAGGAATCCAATTCTCATACATCTCTGCTACTTTGGTCTGTGTGTATGAGTTTATTTGGTTTATTGTCTATATGTAGAAGGCGGTGATTAGAGAAGATAGTTTGAACGCCAAAGAAGAACGATTAGAACGTTTGTGGGCGTAAAGTAATATAATTTATAACATTATCGGACGAAGTATAACCTTGTTAGAACGGTGATGAACGCGAGGAGGTCATGTTAGAACAGGTAAGCTCGCAGGAGATGGTTGTTTTATGAGTAGAAGCGATGTAAACACCAGCTTGGAGATGTTAAAAAGTTACCTCATCTGAAGACGTGAAGCTGCTTGAACTTTGCTCGGGATTATATTATTGGTTAAAAAGCTCGATAAGATTTAGTAGCCATGAGAAACGTATTTAATTCCACATAAATATCAAGTTTCCACGAATACTGGCGCCTGTAAAGACCACTATATCCACTCAAACACCTTTTTTCCCTACTCGCCGAAATCCTACACGAACTCTCAGTACAGGACGGCAATAAGATTACTATCACAAGTAACTTCAACGACTCTTAGAATCGTAGTCGTTAATTCATGTGATGATCTCTTGAGTTTCTTTCTATTCAGAGGGAAAAATTTAGTAAGAGTCGGGAAAAAAGTCTTTGAGTTCGTCGTATGTTAAATGTCTTACGCGTTCACTGAAGAAGCTATTTTATCTGATGGTAACTTGTTGGTCGGGTGGTTTGGTGAGGTGTGGTTTGGTGTGGTTGGGTGTGGTTTGGTGTGGCTTGGTGGGGCTTGGTGTGGTTGGGTGTGGCTTGGTGTGGCTTGGTGGGGCTTGGTGTGGTTTGATGTGGTTTGAAATTATGTTAGGTTAGTTCAGATCAGGTTAAGTTAAAGTTTATGGACCAACGAACCGTCAGATATAAAACCACATCCTTCATAGACGCAACACAATCCGACGCAACACAATCCGACGCAACACAATCCGACGCAACACAATCCGACGCAACACAATCCGACGCAACACAATCCGACGCAACACAATCCGATAATAATCTAACTAACCTTGTTTTTCCTTTTTTTATCAAGAAATCTTTGCGAAATTATTAACACAAACTTCAAATCGACTCTCGGAAAACTCAAACTTTTTTATTATTTTCATCTTCGTCTTCGACTGTGTTTATTAATTTACACTTTATTCTTAATTTGGTTTTGTGTTTATAAGTGTTCAGAGACGTTATATGAGCGAGTGTCGTCGTTAACTTCTTCAGTGTTGAAGAATTAATGAAATAAGAAACTTTGATAATCGTCTGCATAAGAGAGAGAGAGAAAGAGAGAGAGAGAGAGAGAGAACTAGCGAGAATATGCAAAAGATAATTCTATGTAAACTTGATCTAAATGGAAGCTTAATATTGAGAAAAAGAGATAGAGAAAAAAAACGAAATAAAATAAAACGCAAATTAAACTTAATACTAAGATTCGCCAAAAATTAAAAAAAAGTGATTGTCTTTTTTTTTTTGCATCTAAGTAGTTTCCACTCCTGACTTACTCCTCCTCCTCTGCATCTTCCCTTATTTTCTCTTTCACTTCCTCTCGCACTTGTTGAGTTTGGTGTTCTTCGCCCTCCTCTCCCTCACTTGCTCTGTAAAGTTTACAGGTTGAACAAGACTTGTCTCTTTTAAAAACACCACCGGGAGACCGTACACCTGGGAGGGGGTCGTCGTGGGACCAACAAAAACCCTACGAATTCTGTTTTATTTGTCGACTCTTTTTTAAAAACAGTTTTAGGCTGTTTTGTTGTTTTTATTTGTTTTGGTTTTTTTTTTTTTTTTTTATAGCCGCGTACGTTTTAAGGTTTTATGTTCTGTTATTATTAAAAGTCCCGTAACTGATGAATCCAAAGAGTCGTCGACACAACTTCATGATCTGTAGGGTTGCAAGACCATATATCTCACCCTCCAACACAAGGCGAGGTTACCAAAAATAAAATAAAAAAATAAATAAATAGGTTTTTAGGTAAATAGCTTCATGGGGGAGGGATGGGGGGGGGAACAACCCATGCAAGGGAGGAGGAGGTAGGGGAAGGGGGCAGGTGGACCGCACCAAATAGGTAAAATGGTGACATCTATGGCAGGCAGGGCTGGCATAAACACATAAAAAATTAATTCTTGCAACAGAGGTGAATCAAACATTTAGGAAGTTGATCGTTAAAGAATATGAGATAATTTAACATGACTCCAGGCCCCATGTAACGCTAACACCAGAGGCTTATAAAGACACGAAGGGCAATGAGAGAGAGGGAGACTCGTGGCTCAAGAGAGACTCGTGGTTCAGGAGAGACTCGTGGCTCAAGAGAGACTCGTGGCTCAAGAGAGACTCGTGGCTAGAGAGAGACAATGAGTCACTCTGGATTGCGTCTCCCAAGCCACACATACAGTAGATGGTGGATGCTTCAAACACCACCTCACTCACTAACACCATTTTGACTCACAATATTTTAGGGATAACTCTGTAAATAACTCTAGTGATAACTCCGCAATTAACTCTGATTTTAGGGATAACTACTTAAATAACTCTGATTTTTTTTAGGGATAGCTACTTAAAGAAGACTGATTTTTAGGGATAGCTACTTAAATAACCCCGATTTTAGGGAAAACTTCGCAAATAAATCTAAAAATCTGATTTTTATGGATAACTACATAAATAACTCTAATTTTTACGAATGCAGTGGGAAGGCATTTACGAGGATTAAATTCTCCCACAAATACTAAAATCACCCATAAGACCAAGAAAAGGAACAAAAGACGATCGGTGTTTAATTGGAGGTGTTAATTAGCGTACCTGATCTCCTTATCATTAAGGTATCAGAGGAACACAGGTACACAGGTGACATTGATAGTGTGTTTATGTGTTTATAGAAGACTTACTATGAATGTCTCCTTTAACACACACGTTCCAATAATGGTAATCGTCGTCCACCTGTGTAGCCCTTGTATGACCCATTGAGTCTTGGTGAAAATAATGACTTTTAACTGAATCTTTCCCTTAAATAATGACCTATTAATTGAGTCTTTCCCTTAAACAATGACCTATTAATTGAGTCTTTCCCTTAAACAATGACCTATTAATTGAGTCTTTCCCTTAAACAATGACCTATTAATTGAGTCTTTCCCTTAAACAATGACCTATTAATTGAGTCTTTCCCTTAAACAATGACCTATTAATTGAGTCTTTCCCTTAAACAATGACCTATTAATTGAGTCTTTCCCTTAAACAATGACCTATTAATTGAGTCTTTCCCTTAAACAATGACCTATTAATTGAGTCTTTCCCTTAAATAATGACCTATTAATTGAGTCAGTCCTTCACATTTCTCGGATTAGCTCTCAGATCATTTTTTCCAAGTAATTTTAAATCATGTGATCAAAAACAATCACAGCTTGTCACCCACAATCACAGAACATGACATATAAAAGCCTTCTGTGGCGTCTTAACCCATCATGGAAGCTATTGTACTCAGAGACTCTACTCACGGATATAATAAGAAAATAATGAAGAGATTAATCCACTTAAGATACAGATTTACATCGTACTGTGTGTGTGAGCTGGATATTGTGTCAAATGAATCCAAACTTAAGTGATTCGATACCCTAGTGATTCAATAGTCAAGTGAAACGGTGACTCGATACCCTAGTGATTCAATAGTCAAGTGAAACGGTGACTCGATACCCTAGTGATTCAATAGTCAAGTGATTCAGTGACTCGATACCCAAGTGATTCAATAGTCAAGAGAAACAGTGACTCGATACCCTAGTGATTCAATAGTCAAGTGAAACAGTACCGAGTGATTCAGCGGTCAATTAGTACATATATGATTCAGAAAATACAAGTTAACTGAACCAATGACTGATCCAATGAAACACTTGATTGAACCAGTGAACACAAGTGACTGAACCAATGACTGATCCAATGAAACACTTGATTGAACCAGTGAACACAAGTGACTGAACCAATGACTGATCCAATGAAACACTTGATTGAACCACCAGTAAACTATAATAAGGTCATTTACTGCCTTTTAGAGTACAATAACTTCCTAACAAGGGGCACTTCCTAGATAACAGTTGGAGCCCATAAAGCAGTGATCAACCCAGTGGGGGAGGGTGATGGGGTAGTAGGGGTGTAGGGGGGTTTACAACGCCTTACTATACAAATGCTGAATGCCGTAATGGGGATGGGGGGGCATGGGAGACAGGGCATAAGTATACCCCTCCATTGGCACTTACTCGGCATCCCTGTAAGTAAAAAAAGAAAAATATGTGTTAAGTAATTTTATAAGTAATTTGATAAGTTGATGTCAAAATAAAATTCATGAAAATAAATTAACTATTTTTTTTTTTTTTTGCTGCTAAGTTAAATTTCTTATGTCTTTCACTATTAAGATATTGGAGGTAGAGAGAGTGAGAGAGAGTGAGAGAGGGAGAGAGAGAAGGTGAGAGAGGGAGAGAGAGTGAGAGAGAAGGTGAGAGAGGGAGAGAGAGAGAAGGTGAGACGTTGAGAGATAGAATGTAAGAGAATGAGAGACAGATTGAGAGATAGAAAGTAAGAGACTCAGAGAAACAAAGTGAGAGACTGAGAGAGTAAGAGACAGAGTGAGAGAAAGAGGGAGAGAGAGAGACTAAGAAACGGGCAAACGAAGAATTAAAAAAAATGAATACGTTACTTTAATATAAATAATAAACTCAATTATATAATCTTTTACTTAATGAAGAAACATGATGTAAAAACTAAGTCATAAGTCAATAATAAAAGATACGATAAATTCTACGATAAAGAAATATCTTAAATACTTACGAATAAGCTGATTCATCGTCGGACATCTTGGTGGTCTCTTAAGTCTGTAAACAAAGAAGGGAAACGAGACTAAATTAAAAACAACAAAACAAAACGTTTGGTAAATATAAATAGATAATAAATATGAGAAAATTGTTGGAATAATTATAAGACAAAATTTGAAAGTGTAGGGAAGTTATCAGTTGTGTTTAATTGGTCCATTGTGGAAAATATTTTAGGTTCTTGGATACTATATCTTAACCCCTTGATTAAAGTTATTTAATCCCTTGAGTACGATGGGTTATTATGTTGATTATGGTGACTTATTGATTTGAGTACGATGATATTGTACTCAAATAGTTAAAATATCATACTCAAGAGGTTTAATCATCATACTCAAGAGGTTTAATCATCATACTCAAGAGGTTTAATCATCATACTCCAGGGGGTTTAATCATCATACTCCAGGGGGTTTAATCATCATACTCAAGAGGTTTAATCATCATACTCCAGGGGGTTTAATCATCATACTCAAGAGGTTTAATCATCATACTCCAGGGGGTTAAATCATCATACTCAAGATGTTAAGTTATCATACTGTAGGGGGGGGTTTAGTCATTGTACTCAAGAATTTAAATCATCATACTCATGTTAACTTATCCCTAAAAAAATAAAAAAGTTAACTTCTTCCTCAAATGTGAACCCAGCGCGTGTGTGTGTGTGTGTGTGCGTGTGACTGGGCAAGACGGGGGCTCATCTCACCAAGGTATTTATAGAAGTTCTCGGAGCAGCAGGCAAGATGCTATACCAACTCCCGAATAAGGATAATAGTTGATTGTGGCCTCTGAATATGGATAATAGTTGATTGTCGCCCCCTGAATATGGATAATAGTTGATTGTGGCCCCCTGAATGTGGATAATAGTTGATTGTGGCCCCTGAATATGGATAATAGTTGATTGTCGCCCCTGAATATGGATAATAGTTGATTGTCGCCCCTGAATAAGGATGAAGAAGGATTGTGGCCCCCGAATAGTGACAGAAGGATTGTGGCCCCTGAATATGGATGATAGTTGATTGTGCCCCCGAAGGTAATAAGGATACTAGGCTGATTGTCGCTCCCTGAATATGGATAATAGTTGATTGTGGCCCCCGAAATATGGATAATACTTGATTGTGTCCTGAATATGGATAATAGTTGATTGTGGCCCCTGAATAAGGATAATAGTTGATTGTGGCCCCTCAATATGGATAATAGTTGAGTCAGGCTCCCTGAATATGATAATAGTTGATTGTGGCCCTCAATATGATGTTAGTTAGTTATCAGGCCCCTGAATATGGATATGAAGCTTATCAGCCCCCCGGAATATGATAATAAGTTGATTGTCGCCCTGAATATGGATACAGTTGATTGTGGCCCCCTGAATATGTGATAATAGTTGATGTGGCCCTGAATATGGATAATAGTTGATTGTGGCTCTGAATATGGATAATGAAGCTGATTGTGGCCCTGAATATGGATATAGTTGATTGTGGCCCTGAATATGGATAATAGTTGATTGTGGCCCCTGAATATGGATACAGTTGATTGTCGCCCCCGAATATGGATATGAAGTTGATTTATCGCCTCGAATATGGATAATAGTTGATTGTGGCCCCTCGAATATGGATAATAGCGATTGTGGCCCTGAATATGGATAATAGTTGATTGTGGCCCCTGAATATGGATAATAGTTGATTGTGGCCCCCTGAATATGGATAATAGTTGATTGTGCCCTGAATATGGATAATAGTTGATTAAAATTCTGAATATGATACAGTTGATTGTGGCCCCTGAATATGGATAATAGTTGATCACAGTTATCTCAGCCAATCACCATCGGCTAGGATAGGTTAAGAAGGCTGGATTAGGTTAGGAATAGGTTATTTTAGATTAGGTTTAGAATTTTTAAAGTTGGGTTAGGTTAAGTTACTCAATAAAATCGTCTGCCATTAACAGAATAAAATATTAAAAATGGCGTCGCTTAAAATAATTTCATCCCATTCCTATCGACTTTTTTTTTTATACTCAATCGTTCTTTTTATTTCTTTTATTTCCTTACTGAATAATCATCGTAATTTTTGACGAGGGAATTGATGTTATTAAAGAGTAATTTGACGAGTTAGTGAATTGTTTACTGAATTTAGGGGTTGTATTATTGTGGTCAGCAGATGAACACTTAAAGGAGTGATAGATAGATAGATTTATTCTTAAAGTTTTAAAAAAGAATTCTTTAATTTTCACTCCCCATAGACCTGATTATTTTAACCCTAGGATAGTGGACGCTCGGGAGTTACATTACGTGGGTGTTATTTACTTCATCCTGGAATTAAAATGATACCAGGAGAAAAAAACTATATAACTAACCTTAAAATTTCAAAGGCGGGAAATGGCGCCGATAAGATATTAGAATATTGTTATTTTCCGTAAGTTGTTGTATTAAATCTTTGGTTCGTGATGAGACTTGGAGGAATGTAAGTGACTCAAGTTATAACACCCCTTCCCACCCCCCTCCCCCTCCCCCTCCCCGGCTCACTATATAATTTGTGGTATACTAATATATGATAATGTTCCGGCAGACATATATATATTTTTTTATTAAGTGTCTATTATGTTACTATGAACCAGTTATATTTTCATGATAAGTATTATAAGCTATTGGTCACCTTGTTCCGTCGCCATAATGGAACACTGAAACTAAAATATCTGTAATTTTCTGGTTAAATTGTCTCTTATTTGATTTGATCGATGATTCCGGTTTATAATGACTATTATCATCTGGTAGTGCGGCAGTTAAGGTGCACACACACACACACGGCAGCCTTGGTTCAGAACAAACACAGGTGATATAGTACAGTATACCTCTTCAGTGTTTCTATATACTTGTCTAAGTGTCGCTGTGGTGTATAGTGACGACCATTACTGGTCAGTGTTAACATGCGCCATGAATAGTTCCTGGGGGCGGCCTAGAATGTTTACGGGTGTGGGCGTGATGGCGTGGCAGGGCGCCTCGCCGTGGCTGTCGACCAAGAATAGATCAGCTTAGGTTTCGTTTTGCCTCGATGACCACAGCGCCTGCGCCGAGCGTGACGTCACCAACGCCCAGGCCATATATAGAAAATGGGAGATCGAGTGTCGGAGTGTTGTCGATTATTTATACATTTATATGAACTTCCTCAAATGTGGCGACTCCTACCTCCTGATACTCACTTACAACTCAAACACTTAATTGTGGTGGTCAAACTTTGTTGGACAATGTGTATATATATATATATAGGCTATATATATATATATATATATATATATATATATATATATATATATATATATATATATATATATATATATATATATATATATATATATATATATAACCTTCCTTTGCAACACAATAAGGTACAGTTACACATCAATGTTAGACTCATACGACGCACAGTGAATAAGTTGGTGCCATAATACCGTTCATGACCAGTGTTAGAGGAGCACCTGTTGACGCTCTGTTATAGATCAACAACTGTCATTCATCATTCATTTGTGTTATTCATCACTTGGCGTCACCATCCTTGAGAGAGTTGACCGGGAGGAGATTAACACGCTGCTCACATCCCCTCACTCAAGAATTATCTTAGCGCCTCTAAAGTGTCTTTGGTCGATCAATGTGAGCACCAACAACACACTACTCTCTCATCTCACTCCGCTTTATGGTGACTTGTTCATGACACCATCATCACTATCATCTCACAGTCAGGACCATCACCCTCATCATCTCACTCCGTTTTGTAGCGAATAAGTTTCCTGACACTGGTTGCTGTAGCACTGGCCTCACCACACACCGTCACCACGGTAGGCCTCACCAGCCACCTCGCGTCCCTAAGAGTCTTCGGGTTGAGGCGATGGAGTGTTATCCCCGAAACATATATTTCTCTTCCTCTCTCGTCGTGGAGAACAAGACGTGTTTATTTCACTTCGTGTCTCGCTTAGAGAGCGAGACTTTAGCGAGAGACCACAAGACCCCCTGGCCAGCAGGAGGACACGAGACAGTTCTAGCGCGAGAAGAACCTCCTCAAGATGGGGAAAACGACGGGGTTCTAAAGCACTAGACAGCCCTCCCCATACAGTAGGAGGAGGACACGGCGGAGTTCTAAAGCACAAGAAGAACCCTCGTACCCCCTTCAGGAGGAGGAGGAAGAAGACGACGAAGGAGGACTTCAAGGCACAACTTACACAATCCCGGCAGAGATAGAGTGCGAGCAGGAGAGAGCCGGCCAACCTTGTCACCACACTGGCGGCGCGCGAGGCTCTGCAGGTACCCTGCCCACCGCTACACCGAAATAACGTAGCAAAAATAGACACCTTTGGCTGCCTGGCGCTCTGCCCTCGCCAATCACGGCCCCACCTCCGTCTCACGTTCGAAATCGCTAAAATGGGTGCGTGGTGTAGCGAGGGTAGGAGGCATTCCCTCAAGGCTCGAAGGTGTCCGCACCCACAACCCCTGGCGGGAATGTCCGGTGTCCCAACCTCCTCCTCCTCCACCCTCATCCCTCCGACCCCTCCCTCCTCCCTCCCTCCCTCGTTCCACCTCCCCTCTACCCCCTCCCCTCCTCTCTTCCCTTCCCTTCCCTAACCCATCTCCAGGTCCACACCCGACCCGTCCTCACACCACGACCCGTCCTCACACCCACGACCCGTCCTCACACCCACGACCCGTCCTCACACCCACACTGCTTTAAAAGATATTTCACCACCTGAATGTTGCAGCTGGTAGAATGATGTTAAGGATTTGTGATGGAATTTTTTTCTCTCTCTCTCTCTCTCTCTCTCTCTCTCTCTCTCTCTCTCTCTCTCTGTCATGCCTGACCATCTGTAACATACCGGAGTAATGCCTTGAGATGCCAAGTCATGACAATTGAATGTAGACTGAGCAACTGGTCAGCCAATGAATTGCTAACCTCCTAACCTAACCCATCCCGTGATACAGGATCATGTCACTGGTATGTTTACGAGGAACAGCATACACGTCACTACTTAATTTAGGACGAATATTTGTGTACAATAAAAAGATTGCAATACAAGTCTCCTTCTTTAAAAACCAAAGAAATAAAATAAACCCATTTCACCTGTGTTTTCCATCAGTCCAACATCCTCCTCTACTGACCTGACTAGAAGATCTTTTACCGCGTCTAAAGGAGGTTTTACAAGGGGCAGCCAATAACCAGATGTTGGCCGACCTGGTCCCCGTATTTTACACTACAGTCCCAGGTGTTAATGTCGGGGATTAAGTATTGTCATTCAGGGGTCGTTAGGTGATTTAGTTATGATAGTTAAAGTATAGATACAAGTACAGGTGGTAAAAGTCCTTAATTATTGAACTACTTAACTACAGTGACACAACATAACGACACCACCACCACCACCACCACCACCACCACACCACCACCACCACCACCACCACCACTACCACCACCACCAACACCAACAACAACAACAACAACAACAACAACAACAACAGATCAATTCTAGAGTTATATATTGAATAACTCACTAATAAAATAAACTTTATTCATTATATAACAACTAATGAAGAATAAAGTACCTAGTTCATCTCTCCACCTCATGAAATTATCTAAATACCTTTGTAGAGACAGAAGACGACTCGAGGTCAATGTTCGCTACAATACGTGGTAGTCAGGTGAAGGGAATTCGGTGTTAATTTGGGACGTACTGTTGACCCATAATGCATCTCACACCTGTAGCTGAGGTAATTAATGTGTCTAACACCTGTAGTTAAAGTAATTAATGTCTCTCACACCTGTAGTTGAAGTAATTAATGTCTCACACCTGTAGTTGAAGTAATTAAGGTCTCACACCTGTAGTTAAGGTAATTAATGTATCTCACACCTGTAGTTGAGGTAATTAATGCATCTCACACCTGTAGTTGGAGTAATTATGTCTCACACCTGTAGTTGAAGTAATTAATGCATCTCACACCTGTAGTTGAAGTAATTAATGCATCCCACACCTGTAGCTGGGGTAATTAATGTACTGTGTGTCATACATAACCTAACCTAACTCACGGACGGACTGACAGACAAACAGACGAAGATAAAACTATATATTCCCAAGTTGTTTGTTGTTAAAATGGCACTTATTATATTGCTTACTTAATTACATTGTTTATTTACTTCATACTGTACAATATGAAGGGCAGTTGTGACCTCAATACCCCAGCACACTTGGCACTGTCTGGCACTGTCTTGGCACTGTCTTGGCACTGTAGGTCATGCATCTAATTAGTCTATAGTTTGGTCAGAATGTCACCTGAAGACACTGCAGTTAATTTCACCTAAAGATTAACCACCCAAACGCTAACCTAACCTAACCTAACCTAACCTAACCTAACCTAACCTAACCTAACCTAACTCTCCCCAGATAGCTTTAGGGTGATTAATCTTCAGGTGATCTGGAATCGTTTAAGTAAATAGGCGTTAAAAGTTATTATCTGACGTAGAGTCGTAGGCGCAGCAGAAGTGGGAGCAGAAGGGGAGCTCATGACTTCCTTGTTTTAATTTAGTCCCACACACCTCCTCCCCCGGCCTGGCGCACACACACACACACACACACACACACACACACACACACACACACACACACACACACACACACGCACGCACACTACATACATACATCACCCTCAAGACGTCAACCAGAAGCTTCAGTGACGTCATGTATCGCCATTCGTCTTCGTCACGGTTTTTGGTGCTGCATGTGACGTCATATCATCTGACGTCATCATATTCATCTAAAAATTTTAACTCGTCATTAATAAATCATTTTAATTTATTTTTACATTTTTTCTACATTCGTCATGAGTTTTTTTCACTAAATATTACGTTTTGGTGAAGAATAAAGACTTTTTTGTAGGGCGTTTCAAGATGCACGGAATAGCTAATTCATTTGCTTTCCCGGACTGTCATTAAAAAATACGACATTGTACCGCGTCTTGGGAATACCTGGCGCACAACAGTCTTCAGAAAACAATACAATTAGGAGAACTGTTATTTGGACACAATACTGGAAGAAATAGTGAAGAAAATATATAGGAAATTATGGAAGGGAAGATAAAAAAGTTAAAGAAAGTACATCAGGCAACAATAAATAAGAATAACACAAAAATTCGGGCCGTTGTGAAGGTAATTTCTCCCGTCTCGCTGCTAGGTGTTCGCATATTTGTGCAAGACATATGACGAATTTCAGGTTCGTTTAAGTCTTAATTTTTGCATTTACAAAAGTGTAATCAACTTGTTCACCCTTATTTAAAGTACCTTATGAGTAATGATATTAATGTTATAATCATCTTTGAGTAATTATCAATATTGTTACACCAAAGTCACCAACGGCTAATGAGATCTGACAGCGCCCACGTAAAGATGGCGGAGGCAAACTGGTTTCAACAATATATAGGCGCGATCCTTTTCAATTCTTTCATGCCTTACGCTTTGTTTTAGGTCCTATCGAAAATACTACCATATATAGAATTATTTGTATTATTATATAACAGTTTTTATTGCCCTACATGCCTCCAACTCTTCAATAGTAATCAAAATATTCTCCATAAGCGGCCATGATCCGCGTATTTTCAGTGGGAGAAATCGCTGATTGGTTGTTAGCCATTTGGGCTGCTTTAGGCTAACTCCTGATCCAGGTGTTAGTTTCTTTTAAATGTGTCATGCCCACAAGTCATGAGTAGTGTCTGCGCATACAGAATAGCTCACGCGTTAGCTAACCCGTTCATCTGCAACGCCTTACAATAACTGCCTTCATCATACACAGGCGTTTTAGAAGATTGTCAGCTGTTGGTTTAGCATCACCTGAGTCCAGTATTCCTGCCTCCTGGTCTAACAGTATAACACCCAACAACTACTGTAGTTTAGCTTCACACAATCATAGTATCAAGTAGAAAATTGTATCTAGGTTTAAATTACTTGTAGATTCAAATTTGTGTACTGAAGAGCATATCACAAGCTGGGCACAAGTCTAGTGACAAGTTGTAGATACAGTAAACGTCTCCTGTATTGTGCTCACCAAGATGGCAACAGTCCGTGATGCCATACGTACTGCCCCAATATTTTTCTTCTTTTCTTTTTAATTCCACTGATAAATTATACTCAATTATACAGTTTATTTATTTACTTTCATTAACTGGGGCTTATCCTAGAGGCTCTCAGACGAATAAGGAGAATTATCACCAATACTGAGACATATATCTTTATTTTTTACCAGACTACAGCAGCGCCTTCTTCAGTAGTTATAAGGAGAAATAAAGACTCATATGGGAGAAAATAATGATAATAATAAAAATAATGATAATAATAATAATAATAATAATAATAATAATAATAATAATAATAATAATAATAATAATAATAATAATAATAATAATAATAATAATAATAATAATAGTAATAATAATAATAATAATAATAATAATAATAATAATAATAATAATAATAATAATAAAATACTCACTGAACAATACAAATAATTTATACGTAAAACAATTTGAAGGAAATAAAAGATGAACATGCAAATTTAAAGCAAACATTAAATAAAATATAAATAAATGAAACACCCAAAAAAACAAGGTTAGGTTAGGTCAGGTCAGGTCAGGTCAGGTTAGATCAGGTTAGCTCAGGTTAGGTCAGGTCAGGTTAGGTTAGGTCAGATCAGGTTAGGTCAGGTCAGGTCAGGTTAGGTCAGGTCAGGTTAGGTTAGGTTAGATCAGGTCAGGTTATGTTAGGTTTGGTTTGGTTAGGTTAGGTTAGGTTTGGTTAGGTTAGGTCTGATTTCAACATAGACACGCACAGAGATTCCAGGATTACATGGTCAGTGATTTTTTATTTGTTTATTTCGGGAGAAAGTCAACCGAGAGTCTACTGTGGCCAGATAAGAGACCGCCATTATCAACATCATCTCTGAGCCTGAGTCTACGTGAGTCACTTTACTCTGCTCATCCCCCCACCTCCCCTCTCCCTCCCACTACCTCCCCCACCTCCCACTCCCTCCTCTCCCAACACCCTCCCCAACTCTCCCTACCCCCAACCCTCTCCCACCTCCTCCCCCACCCCCCTCCACCCCTCGCTCAACTTCCTAAACACAATAAATAACTCATAAACTAACCTAACCATGGCCTTCCTCCTCTCTCTCCCCTGACACTTCCTCAAGATAAGGAATTTCACTAATTTTTCCCCTAAGACACAATTTATATAAAAAAGCAAAGACGTTTTGAATTATCACATCAAATACAATCAGAGGTGTGTGCTTAAGGTGTGTCACTTAATATGTGTTACGTAAGGTGTGTCACTTAA